AGAGAGTTAGAAACATCAATCAGCTGCCTCCTGCACACCCCCCACTGGGGATGTGCCCGCAACCAAGGTACATGCCCTTGACCGGAACCGAACCTGGGACCCTTCAGTCCGCAGGCCAACAATCTATCCACTCAGCCAAACTGGTTAGGGCTAGAGTCCACTCTTGAGAGCTTCCAGTCACTAGAGGTAGATGGGCAGATAGACCATCAGCTAACTCTTGAAGGAGAGCAGAGAAATTAAGGACTCCTACTGTGGGACTAAGAAACAAGACAGTCCCGGGGTCAGGAGGCAGTGGATAAGAAAGGGGGCTGCAGGGGGCGGGCGCGGGCTGGGAGAGGTCAATGGGAGGAAAGGGAGACATATGTAATACTTTCGACAATAAAGAATTTTTAAAAAGGGGTTGCATATTGGATAAAGAGGAGAAAAATACAAGGGACAGGCGAAGATCACTTTGGGTACAAGGAAAAGATATGGGAAGATTAGATACTCAAATAAATACCAGCCCTCCAGCTTAAGATTGCAATCCACGTGGGCTGTTCTTCCAAGTGGGTCCTGGAGAGAAGAGGTTCCATAAAAATCATAGGAGCCCCAGACCCCAAGAGGTAGGAAAGAGTGTGATGCCAGATTGCCCACTGCTGTAAGAATATGTTTGACATTTAGTTGGTTCCTAATTAAACAACCCAATATCAAACATATCACACAGAAACAGGCAGGAGAGCTTTGGTGGTCACCTGCCTCTTCCCCACTGCAGAGGAGGGCCAGAGCAATCAGGAGGGCCCTCTCGTGGGGGAAGGGCACCGACTCCTGCCCTTGGCCTCCCAAGACAGCCAGTTCTTACTCATCTGCCCTTCGTGCCATCCCTGTCTCAGCTCCTCTCTTACCAGTGCCTGGCCTTTGCCGGATCACGTCGGGCTAAAACAGGAAGATATCTGGCAGGGCTCCACCTCCGGGCCCCCGTCCTTCCCCAAAGCTCCCACCCAGAGCTTCTCCCCCGGATGTCACGGCCCCAGCGCCCCGGGGATCAGTAGTGTCAGCAGCTCCTTGTCGGCCTTGCCACCTGCTCTCCTCAGCTCCCTCCCAGCTGACCCCAAGGCTTTTCAGGAGTGGGGGTGGGGCGCTTGTGCATTCTGCTTTACTCTTCCAACAGAACGCCTAACCTTTCCAAGTCACCTCCACAAGATAGCTGAGGGCCTTTCCGTGGAAACCATCCTGGAACCTTCCTGCTCTTAAGTACTACAAATGAGTCGCTGTGAAAGGGAGACACTTCTAGAATGTTTGGCTGCTTCTTCCCACCATCTTGTCCCTTCTCACCTTCTCCCAACGTCCTCCAGGTCCTTCTTAAAGTCACCCTTGGATGTCCAGAAGAGAAGAGTGACATGTCGTATTAGCAGGCTCCAGCTTGGGCTCCAGAGATGTATGGTCCCCCTGCCTGGCTCACTGAAACTAAGACGTGAGGAGGTCAAGGGTGAGGGAGGAAACCCTCTCCCAGGAAGCAGCCTGCATTCCTTAGGGCTCTTTTCTCCTGAGGCTTATCACAACCCTGGACCGGCTCCTCTAAAGGTCTTCCCTCACAGGAATGCAGCCTGATTACTTTCTGGGAGGTTTTTCTTCTGAAGAGAATCAAATCTGTTGAATGTCATGTGGCAGGCAGATGCTTCTCTCTACTATGGCAGCAAGGAGCCCAAGTTATAGCTACGCTAGCGGTGGGGGTAGTGGGGGGCTTGGGTGGAGTCTGGAGGTGGGAGGAGGATGCCCTGCTTTAGCCCCTAGGCCTGTTCCATGTGTCCTTGTTCCCATTAGTCTGGACACTCCCCCCGCCCCCTGGCCCCCACATATACCGACTCCACAGTGCCCTTGATCTAGATAGATAGCGTGTCCCAAGCCCCAGTCAATTCCTGTTGTGTGGCTCTTGCCTTCCAGGGGAAGACTAACCAATAGGTGTCTGAGCCCCAAGGTAGGAACCATGGCGCTGTCTTATGGCCTGTTCCTTTATGACTCTCAGTGAAGGGTTGCGTGTAACTTTTACCTTCTTGACCTTCCCTTTTACCCTTACTCCTCAAGTCCTAGTTCCCTTCTCTGAGAAAGCTGACGACCGCAGAGCCTGGGAGAGAGGCTGGGGAAAGGACTAGCGGGAACTGAAAGGACTTCCGTGTTTGGGGCACGAGGGTAAGAGATGCAGAGGTGGTATATTGATGTAGGGGAGGAACAGCTCCCTGAAAAGGAGGCTCTGGATGGCATAACGAGGCAGAAACAGCAGATGTCCTCTGATGCAAGCTTCCTGGCTCTCCTGGAAGGACCTTCTATGGAGGCTCTGGATGGCATAACGAGGCAGAAACAGCAGATGGCCTCTGATGCAAGCTTCCTGGCTCTCCTGGAAGGACCTTTTATGCAGCCATTTCATTACCGGGGGAGCTGGGGAAGGCACCAGCCACAGAGGAAAAAGGGCCTGGATGGGTGAACCACTCAGCTGATGTGATGAGAACAGACAGAGTAGGCAGAGAGGATCAGAAGCGATGGGCTTTGTAGGGGGCCAGCCTGCCAATACTGGAGCCGGCCTGGCACTGACAAGCCCTGGGGAGAGAGGCCAAGGTCAGGGATCAAGGCAGAGTGGGCTGGGTATTCTGTGGGTCCAAATGAACAAAGAGAAATAAAAGGGGTTGGTGAGGAAGTGTGGTGGGAGGCGGGGTGGGGGCCGGGGAGCCGTTAATGGAGCCCCAATAAAAGGAAAACCAGCCCTGGCCAGGTAGCTCAGTTGATTAGAGCATCATCCCAGTACACAGAGGTTGCGGTTTTGTGTGTGTGTTTGGTTAATCCTCACCCGAGGACATTTTTCCATTGGCTTTTTAGAGAGAGTGGAAGAGAGAGAGAGAGGAAAAGACAGAGAGAAACATTGACGTGAGAGAAACACATCGATTGGTTGCCTCCTGTATGCGCCCCCACCAGGGCCTGGGCTGGGGAGGAGCCTGCAACCAAGGTACGCGTCCTTGACAGGCATTCAACTGGGGGGCCCTCTGGCCGAGGCTCTATCTACTGAGCCAGACCCTCTAGGGCCGAGAGTTTGACATACCTGCCCTACATCCATTGCCGTATTTAATCCTCTTAATAATCCTGGGAGGAGATGGGTGTTATTGTCCCCGTTTTCAGAAGAGGATATTGAGGCTCGGGGAATTAACGTATACCTGATGACAGCAATTAGAAGCCAGACCTTGAACCCACACTAAACTCCAAAGCCTGTACGCATCTCTGTACCTTGCTGCTTTGTGCTCCTCCTCAGTAGGGTATGTAGGGAGAGAAGGAAGGAGAAGCTCTGAAAGTTGGGAAATAAGAGGGTCCCTTGCCTCCAAATGGGCAACCTACTCAGGCCCGCGGGTGTGGACACTACCTCTGAGCCAGTCCAAATGGGAAGAGGCAGCAGGTGCTGGAGCCCAGGCTCAAGTGGAGGCGGCAGGAAGGAGGTGGGCTCTGCTCCGCCATCTCCCTGGGACCCAGAGCTACAGGGGGAAGGGGACTCTGCTCCCCACTCCCAGTCGCCCTCTGCCTTCTAGACGAACTTTGCTCCCAGCGAGGAAGCGGCCCGGCCCAGCTGCACAAATGGATGCTTTGACATTGGAGAGAGGAAGTGAGCAAGGAGGGGCCAGCTGATGTGTGTTGGGGATTGCTTCTCAGAAATCTGCCCCTCCATCTCCTCCTCCTCCTCCTCCTCCTCCTCTTCCTCCTCCTCCTCCTCTGACACCATGGCAACAGGGAGGCAGCTGGGGAAGCCACCTGTGAGCTGGGCTGGTTGAGGGGGAGGTGGGCTGGGGGTAGGGACCTCTGCTCTCCCTCTCTGAGCCTCAGTCTTGACATCTAGAATATGGGCACGGCAACCCAGTTGTGGGCTCCTGTCAACCCAGGTGCTCCAGGAAGCCCAGGCCCAGGCCCAGGCAGGACTCCTTAGGGCAGTGGTTCTCAACCTTCCTAATGCCATGACCCTTTAATACAGTTCCTCATGTTGTGGTGACCCCCAATTTCATTGTTACAAATTGAACATAATTAAAGCATAGTGATTAATCACAAAAACAATATGTAATTATATATGTGTTTTCCGATGTTCTTAGGTGACCCCTGTGAAAGGGTCGTTCGACCCCAAAGGGGTCGTGACCCACAGGTTGAGAACCGCTGCCTTAGGGGAAGGCCAGGGAGGGAGGTAAGGGCGGGGCTGGGGAGTGCCCTGCATCATCCTGCAGCTGGGGGCTGGGCAAGGCAGCGGAGAGTCCCTGAGCCACGTGGCCTGCTCTTCCCACCAAGCAGCCTGCCTGGTGTGCCCACTGGACTGTCACTGCGGAGGAGCCCCAGGGAGCAGGAGACAGGGCCCAGGCACAGACACAGGGATGATCTCCCTGTGAGCCCTGCAGTGAGAAGTCTGGGGTGGAGGGGGCTTCCCTGCCACGGAGCACAGGGCTCAGCTGTTCCCAGAACCCGGTCAAAGCCCCAAAAGGAGCCCTAGCCGGTTTGGCTCGGTGGATAGAGCGTCGTCCCAGGTTTGATTCCGGTCAAGGGCACATGCCCGGGTTGCAAGCTCGATCCCCAGTTGGGGGCTTGCAGGAGGCAGCCAATCAATGGTTCTCTCTCATCATTGATGTTTCTCTCTCTCTCTCTCTCTGCCTCTTCCTTCCTCTCTGAAATCAATACAAAATAAAATAAAATAAAACCCTCAAAGGAGGGGTCTATTTCCTGAGGCTGCGGCTCAGATGACTACAGACTGGCCTAAACCGACAGGAACAAGTGCTCTCCCCCTCTGGGTGCCAGAATCTGAAATCAGGGCGTCCAGGGCTGTGCTCCCTCGGAGGGCTCCAGGGCAGGGTCCTTCCTGCCTGGTCAGCGTCTGGGGGCTCCTGGGGCTCCTTTGCTCCTGGCCCCATCCCTTCAATCGCCCCTCGTCTTCACGTGGCCTCTCCTCCATCTTCAGGTGCCCTCTCGTCCTTCCTAACATAACCCCACACTGTGTTCACTTCCGGCAGATCACGTGGCCACGCCCCGTTCACGTGCCCATTGCACAGGTGAAGCTGCTGCGGCACAGAGAGGGCGAGTGACTTCTTCCTTGGAGGGTGCACAGCAGTAAAAGGACGGAGCTGGAAATGGAACCTCGGCCGCCCAGAGCCTCTGTCTCCTTGACCTGTGACCTCTGGGTGAGCGGCCATTTGCTGTGATGGGCTTCACCCTTCCCCGAACCCCCCATCCACCCCCAGCAGACAGGGGTCCGGTCTCGGCACCAGTGCCTCCGGGCGGCTGCTCTCTTTGTCCCAAGGTCCCTCCCAGCTGGTGACCTTGGCAGAGTCCCGCTGCATTGGGGCGAGGGCCCTGCGTGGGGAACATCCCGCCTCCCCTCGCTGTCTGTGGCTTAGATTACAAAATACCATGATTTTCCCGTCTGGCTTAGGCCGCCTGCCTCTCCTGGCAGATTTTGTTTGACCTCGAAATGAAATTGATTCGGGGTCTGCAAACCAGCAGACTGCCTGCATTCGCTCTGAGACGTGGCTCTGCCTGGGGCCTCCTGGTCCAAGTCCCCGATGCCTCCCCAGGTCCGTGGCAGCATCGCTCATCCCCTGGGCCCCCATTCAGCACAGGCACCCTCAGCGCTGCCCTGCAGCTCCAGGGACCCGCTGAGCCCGGGCCCCAGCCGGTAAGCAGTTCCCCGGGTCCTGCCTGCAGCCCCAGGTCCTCAAACCGGTGTGGTAGGGCCCTGAGAGTTGACCCCTTAGGCAGAGGGGTGCAGACACCAGGTGGGCACTGCGCCCCCACACCCGGCCTCCCCTTCTCCCCGGAGGAAATGCCGAGAGCACCCAGTCCAGCTCCTGGAGGGCTCAGCCTGCGCAGTGCGGCCACCAGAGGGGACCCGTCTGCACGGTGGTGGGCAGAACAGGCCTCCCAGGGGAGCTGGGTGCCCACCTGGCCCCAAAGCCATCCTTCCGCCTCCCCCTTGCCCCTTCCGAAGGGGAACCAGGTGTGGTTTCCGCCCAGCTGCCGGCCTTGGGAGGCGGCAGAGGCTGTCGCCCTCTGCTGGCCAGTTCCTGTTACTGCAGGAAGTAAGTCGCCCTGCCACCCAGCCCGTGCCCACTGGGCGCCAGCCCAGCACATCATTCCCATCCACGGGTCAGAACCAGGCCTCCCTCGGCTGGGGTGGAGCAGAGCTGGATTGAGAGTCAGGACGGTCTCTGCAGCTGATGTGTGTGGTCCCCATTTTCTCGAGCCCAGGAGGCTGCAGGGCCCTCTGTGCATCTGTAACTGTCGCTGTATTACCAGAGGTCCCTTCAGGGCACAAGCTGGGACATGGCAGCCAGGACTTGTACGCAGCCTCCAGGATTGGAGCCCTCTGCTCTTTCCTCCACAGGCTGCAGGGACTTCCTGCCAGGTGTTCCTAGATGGCACCTGGTGCATGAAACAGACTTTTGGGAAAAGGGAAGGAAAAGGTGTGCGTTTTGCAGTGAAGACATAGCCATATGGAGTTGAGGGCAGAAAAAGACCAATGTGAAGGATGACTGACCAATTGGATGCAGATGGCAAAGTGAGAGAGAAGGAAAACGTGTGTATGGTGATTACATCAGAGAGTGATGGTGTGTTCTGGCGACTGTTACTGCCTGCAAAATGGGGGTCTCTCCATAGATATAAGGAACAAGCTAATAGTTCTCACAGGGGAAGGGGTGGGAGATGGGAATGTTTTTGGCCGGGTCTCTCTGGTTTGGGATGTCATTCGAATGTAAAGTGGATATTTACATACATTTGGATGTAAAGTAAGGTTCTTTGTGGCCTATAGATGCAATCAGTACTTCTCAGTATTTTTCAAATTTTAAATGTTTGCAGACTTAATGCTGTTTCTGGCCCCCTATAAATTCCACAAGCACTTATTTCCTTATGTCTGAAGGCATTTGAGACTGGAACCCTGTCATTTGCAGAGGTGGGAATTGAGACCCAGAGGAAAGACTCATCCCAAGGTCTCACAATAACTGGCTCACTCAAAACCTAAAACCCAATGGACACAAGACACTGTGGGGTAGGGGAGGCCGGGGGAAGGTCAAGGGGGAAAAAAAAGGAGACATATGTACTACTCTTTGTAATACTTTAAGCAATAAAACAAAATTAAAAAACAAACAAAAAAAACCTAAAACCCAGACCTCTTGTTTCTCAAGCACCACAGTGGCTGTGGATTAATAGCTACATTCAGAGTTATTTGTCCAAGTGTACAGAAAAATATTAGTGGAGCCTGACCAGTTTTCTCAGTGGTTAGAACTTCAGCCCAAGCACCCAAGGGTCTCGGGTTCAATTCCAGTCAAGGGCAGGTACCTGGTTGCAGTTTCGATCTCTGCCCCAGTGGGGCAGGCGTTCGGGAGGCTGCCTTCTGCACGCTTGCCTGCAACCCGGGCATGTGCCCCGAATGGGAATCAAACAAGTAACCTTTTGGTGCATGGGATGATGCTCAACTGAGCCCAACTGAGCCACCCTGGCCAGGGTATTTTTGTTAATCTTCACCCGAGGATATATTTCCATTGGTTTTTAGGGAGAGTGGGAGAGGGAAAGACAGAAACATCAATGTAAGAGAGACATATTGATTGGTTGCCTCCTGTATGAGCTCTGACCAGGGCCTGGGCCGGGGAAAAGCCTGCAACCGAGGTACATGCCCTTGACTGCAACTGAATCCTGGACCCTTTGGTCCATAGGCCGAGCTCTATCCACTGAGCCAAACCAGCTAGGGCTGCCCAGGGTTTTAATTGATTTTTTAGAGATTTGGAAGGAAGGGTGGGAAGTGGGGGGAGAGAGAAACAGATGTGAGAGAGAAACATCAATTTGTTGCCTCTAGCAACAGGCCCCAACTGGAGATCAAATCTGCAAGCTGGGTATGCGCCCTGATCAGGAATCGAACCCAGTATCTTCTGATGTACGGGATGATGCTGCGACCAACTGAGCCACGCCAGCCAGGAACTAAGTTTGAAGCTTTAAGAACTAGCTTATTTATTAAACCAAATCAGGATTCTCTCACATTGTCTATCTCTCCATCTTCCCTCACCACCTTACATCAACACTACATCTCTCATTCTGACCACAAGGTGTCACTCTTGGTGTTTTGTTTTTTCCCAGTTTTTCATAGATGGTTTCCCAAATAGCACCAGGCAGTTGAGAGGCGAGAGTAGAAGCACCACCTTAAGTTGTGGACAGATAACTAGATCCAGGTGTGTTTTGGGAAGGAAGTTCAAGGTGGCAGGAGCTCGAGAAGATTAGATTAGTGGGCATGATGAAAATGGAAGGACAGTGTTTCGGATGTCATCAGAATCTTTCCACATAGAAAGCTTTGCCCATCTGATTTAGTTCCTGCTGGTACTGCTGATGCTCCTTTTCAAATAGCTGGTGCAGGGCGGCTTGACGGACCTGATGGGAAGGGCACAACAGAATATTGTCAACACAAGAAACTTTCAAACCTATAGAGAATTTTTTAAAAATATATTTTTATTGATTTCAGAGAGGGAGAGGGAGATAGAAATATCAATGATGAGAGAGAATGACTGGCTGCCTCCTACATGCCCCCCATTGGGGGTCGAGCCCACACCCAGGCATATGCCCTGACTGGGAATCAAACGGTGACCTCCTGGTTCATAGGTTGAAGTACAACCACTGAGCCACACTGGCTGGGCTGTAGAAAAATTTTTTTGAGTTTATTTGAGCCAAACTGTTGACAATTGCCAGAAAGCAAAATCTCAATGGACTGAGAAAATGCTCCAGAGAATGGCAGTTTTGCATCTTATTTTACACATTACAATCAAAAGAGAAGACGTAAGTGGGTTATATGAAATTCATAGATTAGGGAGGCAGGAGAAAGCAAAGTGGGGGTGAGGGAACCTTTGGGATTGGATAAAAAATTAAGTCAACAATTAATAACAATGAGGAGATCTGTGGTCTCCACTTTGGTTCAGTAGCTGTACTTTGAGGGGTCCGGAAAAAGTAAATTATTTTGGCTTGGCTGATGTGGCTCAGTGGTTGAACATTGTCCTATGAACCAAGAGGTAATGGTTCGATTCCCACTCAGGGCACATGCCTGGGTTGAGGGCTTGATCCTCAGTAGGGAGCCTGCAGGAGGCAGGCTATGAGAGATTCTCTCATCATTAATGTTTCTATTTCTCCCTTCCTTTCCAAAAAAAAATAAATAAAAAAATTTAAAGTGAATTATGACATTCTAAAGGTATGTTATCATAGATACAAAAAGACAATTGACAGACTTAACTAAGGTGAAAATTGATCTTTTTCAGGGAAGATTCTATTCTAGGACATGATCACCCACCATAAATTTTTTAGTTAAAAAGTTTTGTTTTGTCTTTTTAATCCTTACAGGAGATCATACTTAGAGAGAGGAAGGGGGAGAGAGAAACATCAATGAGAGAGAGAAACATCTATCAGTTGCCTTCCATATGTGCCCCCACCAGGGATCGAACCCACAACCCAGGTATGTGCCCTGACCAGTAATTGAACCGGCAACCTTTCAGTGCGCACAGGACAACGCTCAATTAACTGAACCACTCCAGCAGGCTAGTTAAAAAGTTTTAATTTCAGGCCATTCTTTGTGGTTATTTTAAGTCTCTGAGTTTGTAAGGCCACCATGCAGGCCTCCCCTGACCTTGTCAGTTTTAGTGTGTGGCCCCTTTTCATCCACAGTATGGTGTTGCCCTCTGTTCACCCCCCTTCTCATTCTCTCTCCCAGGTTGCTTTCCCATTATTCTATCATGTCCTCTTGGGTCTGGACTTAGCTGTGACATAAAGCTAGGCAGGAGCATAGAGGCTACACCACTGAAGGAGAAGCCCATCCGATTTTTTTCTCCAGGTGAAGCCCCATGTTCAGCAAATATTTGCTGAGAACATATAATGAACCAGGAACTCTGCTAGGCACCTGGGATACAAAGATGGTAACATGACAACAATTGGGGACCCCAGGGAGAGAGATTTTGAGAGGCAGGTGCTGGGCACTAAAGCAGTTTTGAGTCTCACCAAGATGAGAGGAGCAAGGGCTACTGAACTTTGGAACTTTGTAATGTTCCATCTGCAGCGGAATGCAAAGAATCACTCAGTAAAAAGGTGCTTAAGGCATTTAAGAGTTAAAGAGTTATTGCTCTGGTGCAGTAGTGAAGACCTCAGAGGAAAGTAATGGCAGGGTGAGTAATAGAGATGAAGAGTTTGGGAATCTCAGTGCGCATAGCACAGAGCAGTAGTGGATGAGACCTAAGGTCATCCTTGCTAGAACTCACCATCAATAGTTGCTTGTTGGCCAGTGCCAACTCCTGTGCCATGGCATCCTGAATCCTTAGAGTAACATAAGGGTTTCTCCTCTGGCTCAATGTCGTCTGCCACAGACAGAGAGTGTGTGCATTTCGCCACCTGCCCCAGGTATAGAGGTAGGGTTAGAATGGGTTAGAGTTAGGAATGGAGACAAAAACCCCATCAGTGTGTCTGCTTCTTTTGTTTTGTTTTTTTCAGAGAAGAAGGGAGAGGGAGAGAGAGATAGAAACATCAATGATGAGAAAGAATCATTGATCGGCTGCCTCCTGCATGCCCCCTCCTGGGGATCGAGCCCTCAACCTGGGCACGTGCCCTTGACTGGAATCGAACCCAGGACCCTTCAGTCCGCAGGCTGATGCTCTATCCACTGAACCAAACCGGCTAGAACAGTGTGGTTGCTTCTTCACCAAAATCTTTGTGATAGTGTCAGAAGACTGCAAACTCCTTGAAAGGGTACCTAGAACAGACTTAGAACCTTGTAAAAAGTACATTTTGTCATTTAATCATCATAGCAAGCATGTGCCACAGATATTTTCATATGCAGACAAGGAAACTAACATTTCAGGTGCGTGGCCCAAGGTCACTTAACAGCAGACCTGCATATCAAATCCAACCTAAGGATTAACTCCTTCCATCATACCAGTGACTCTCAGTCCTGACTAGACACATTTTTGGAAGATTAATGTTTTTTTAATACATAAAAGGAATACACATATGCATCATATATGCCTACATAAATACATACATATATATGTATCCTCTGCTCAGATAACCCCCGAGATTTTTAAAATTTTCTTGATTTCAGAGGAAGAGAGAGGGAGAGATAGAAACATCAATGATGAGAATCATTGATTGGCTGCCTCTTGCACGCCCCTTACAGGGGATCGAGTCTGCAACCCAGGCATGTGCCCTTAACTGGAATCGAACCTGGGACCCTTCAGTTTGTAGACTAATGCTCTATCCGCTGAGCCAAACCAACTAGGGCCCCAGAGATTTTTTTAAAAATCAAGTATTTTTTACAGATTACTAGAAAATTAAATCCATACAGAAATATAGTGTGAAAGCTTCATTCTTCTGCTCCAGTCCTTCTCAACAAAGCTATCAGTTTCTTGTGTATCTTTCCAGAAAATGTTTCTATCAGATACCAGCAAGTACATCTTTTAATTTTTTCATAAAAGCATATTTATATAGGCAGCATGACTTAACAATTTGAACTTTTCATATCAGCACACAGAAGTTTTGCTTCATTCTGTTTAAAGGCTGCCTAGCATTTTTGTATCATAATATACCTAGCTGGGTGGTTTCTACTTTTTCACTTTTATTAACTGATTGATTTTAGAGAGGAAGGGGGAGGGAGGGAGGAGGGAGAGAGAAGAGAGAGGGAGGGAGGAAGGGAGGGAGGGAGGGAGGGAGGGAGGGAGAGAGAGAGAGAGAGAATGAATCATTGATTGGTTGCCTCCCGCAGGGGTCAAACCTGCAATCTGGTATATGCCCTGACCGGAAGTCAAACCTGCCTCCTTTTGGTGCACAGGATGATGCTCCCACTGAGCCACACTGCCCAGGACTGCGTACCTGTGCTTTTTAAAAAGTTCCTCCAGGTAAAGGATATATACAGCCTAGGCTTTTGAATCTTCTCACCCATTCAACAAATACTGCATACCTACCACATGATTAGTACAATGCCAGGCAACAAATACTTGCATTCTCTTTAAAATATAAAACAAAAACCGAGCTGGTGTGGCTCAGCAGTTGAGTGTGGACCCAGGAACCAAGAGGTCGCTGGTTCAATTCTTGGTCTGGGTACATGCCTGGGTTGCGGGTTCGATCTCCAGTGGGGGTGTGTGCAGGAGGCAGCCGATCAGTGATGTTACTCTCTCATCCATGTTTCTACCTCTGTCCCTCTCCCTTCCTCTCTCTCTAAAAATCAATTAAAAACATTTAAAAAGTAAATAAAAATAAGACAACAAAAACTCCGATTTTCCTTTAGAGAATGGTAATGGACAATAAAAACCATTGTCTAGGCCAGCCGTGGGCAAACTACCCGTTTGAAATGAATAAAACTAAAAAAAAAAAAAGACCATACCCTTTTATATAATGATGTTTACTTTGAATTTATATTAGTTCACACAAACACTCCATCCATGCTTTTGTTCCGGCCCTCCGGTCCAGTTTAAGAACCCATTGTGGCCCTCGAGTCAAAAAGTTTGCCCACCCCTGGTCTAGGCACTGGCTGGTGCTGCTCAGTTGATTGGAGCATTGTCCCATACACCAAAGGTTGTGGGTTCAAATCCCAGTCAGGGGACACATCTAAGTTGCAGGTTTGATCTCCAGTCTGGGCACCTTTGGAAAGGCACTGATTGATGTTTCTCTCTCACATTAACATTGCCCTCTCCCTTCCCTTCTCTTTAAAAAATCAATAAGCATGGCCTCTAGTGAGGATTAAAAAACAATCACCATTGTTACAGCTTAACATAGTGGGCACTAGGAGGCTATCTCTGGCCCCCTCCACACCGGTTTTCCTTTTTTTTAAATATGTTTATTGAATTTACAGAGAGGAAGGGAGAGGGACAGAGTTAGAAACATCAACATCAATGAGAGAGAAACATCAATCAGCTGCCTCCCGCACCCTCCCTACTGGGCATCGAGCCCGCAACCAAACTACATGCCCTTGACCAGAATCGAACCTGGGACCCTTTAGTCTGCAGGCCAATGCTCTATTCACTGAGCCAAACCGGTTAGGGCCTGTTTTTCTTCTTGATGAGCCCCTAGAAGCTCATCCAGAGCTGAGAGATGGCTCAGGGAGTACAAGAGGGTAAAAGGTTAAGCTGAAGAGTAAGGGAAGAAATAGAAGCAGAGATTACCTGTCAATCATCTTCTTAAGTATCAGGTTCCTTTGAAAACTCTGCAAGAAAAGGGAGTTCTGTTGATCTGCTTTCTATCTCCAGTTCCTCACACCTAGTGCCCTACTCTAGTGGGAGACGCACAGATCTTTCTCTTTTGAGAGGGGCTAATTTTCTAGGGGCGGTGGGAAGAAAGGTCTATGCCTTTCAGAACAGATCAAAGAGCATAGGTAGGAGTTATGACATACATAAATACTATGAGCCAGGCATAGTATGTGCCAGATCCAGTCTCCCACTTCTGTTACTATTCTTGTTACAAGGGCCTCTCTCAGAAGGGCCACTCCTGGTAAACTTATCTGGAAAATCCCCTCCACCCCGGTTCTCCTTCCAACTCTGCATACGCTTTCTGTCTTTGCCAGGTTTTCCGTAGACATGTTTATAGACTTTGTCCGATGTGGTCTGGGGAGACTGAGCAGGCTCTTTCTGTTTGGTTCAGTAACCAAGGTTTCAGTAGTCATAGCAACACTTTTGCCTCCAACAATGACCCTACAGGTAGGAGTTGATTGGTCACCTGGGCTGATGCCCGAGACACCTGAAAGAATCCTGGTTCTCGTGTTCTATTAGTGACACAGGCAATTTTATGAGCAAGGACCACAGTCCCAATTTTAAGATTTCTTCTGTTGGGATCCCAAGGAATATCTGTATGGTCCCAGATCCAGGGTCCAGTCCTATCAATTCTCTGAAGGCAAATCCTCATGCCGTATCCTGAGGCAGATGCAGAGAACATATCATATGCCTGTTTTACTAAAAGGCAACTGTAAATGAATGAATCATATACTTTATTGTTTAATTGTTCATTTTATTAATTTATAAAGTCAGACCAGTGCATTGGTCTGACCATTCTTCCCCTGTCACCCCAACTCTCTCACCCTTGGGATTATAGTCTAGAAAGGGGCAGATGAACTATGATCAAAACCAAGTGAGGATTTTTAAGGAAGCTCTGACAGAAACATTAAGAAAAACATCTTAATTCAACTCCAGAAAAAAAGTGCTACCAAGGGAAAAAGTCTTAACTGGTGTTTTGAAACTGGCCATAAGGAAGGCGTGGAGAATGATTCTCTAGGCATGAGCTCTAAGAGCTGTGGACACCACCGGGAGCTTCAGCTGATCCAGATGACCTGAGGGGCACCCAGCCAGCACCATGCAGTCTCTCTGGCTCCATCAACAGCAAGTCCTTCAGCGCCATCACAGAGTGCTCTCTAGTGTGTTATAGTTGTCCTTAAAGCTCTTCAGTTCAAGGAAGTGCTTGGCACGTTTGCTCTTCTGGCTGGAGGGGAGGTATGTCACCTGGATGGTGGTTGGGGAGACCTCAGGAGACTGGGTGAGGTCCTTGGCTGCTGACTGATGCTGTCGCTGAGAGTTCCCGCTTCGTGCTTTGACCCTGAAGAACACAGAGGGCAGGTCACAGGCAGAATGAGGACTAATGAAAGAATAGAATTCGAGGTTCATCCATCCCATAAATGCAGCTGTAGCACAAATGGTCTCTATCCTATTTTATAAACTAATTACTAAAATCCTACCTGGCAGCTTAGAAATAGCAGAGTAACCAATTTTCCCACTGAGTCCCTGCCTCTGGCCCAACATTTTCATCTCACTACTCTTAAAGAAAACTTCTAATTCTGGTGAGTCGCCTAATGTGTGTATGCCGCTAATATTTTCCCAGTCCAGAGAGAATCCCTTGAGAATGGAGTATCAAATAATAAGAATGAAAGTAACTACTGAGTACTGATCACATTAGGACATTAAACTTGGTGCTTTCCTAACATCTAATTTACTAATATCTCAATATTCTTACATTGTGGGATCATTTCATTTTTCAGGTTAGGAAACTGAGGGTCCATTAAGTAACTTGCTTGAGGTCACAAAGCTATTAAGTGACAGAAAGCTGGGATTCAAACCTAAGTTAGTCAGGTTTCAGAGCCTATACTATTTTTCACTACATCCATTGAACCTTTCTAGAAGCTAGAAATCAGAGAGACTAAATTAAAAATTTTTTATAGTAAAATAAACATAAAAGTTGCTATTTTTTGTATTTAAATCTTTTTTAAAAAAATATATTTTATTGATTTTTTACAGAGAGGAAGGGAGATAGAGAGTTAGAAACATCGATGAGAGAGAAACATCGATCAGCTGCCTCCTGCACATCTCCTACTGGGGATGTGCCCGCAACCCAGGTATATGCCCTTGACTGGAATTGAACCCGGGACCTTCCGCAGGCTGACGCTCTATCCACTGAGCCAAACCAGTTTCGGCTGTATTTAAATCTTAACTATTTTTTATAGAACCTTATTGATTTTTTAGAGGAAGGAAGGGAGAGAGGGAGAAATATTGACTTGAGAAACATGAATTGTTTGCCTCCTGTACCTGCCCCAACTGGGATTGAACATACAACCTAGGTATGTGCCTCTGATCAGGAATTGAACCTGTGACCTTCCCGTGGACAGGACAACAATCCAAACAAATAAGCCACTCTAGCCAGGGCCCATCTTAACTATTTTTAAATGTTTACAGTTTAGTAGTGTTAGGTACATTTACATTATTGTGTGACTAATATCCAGAATTTTTTTCATCTTGCAAAACAAACCCTCTACCTATTAACTCTCTAGTCCTCCTTTCCTCCAGCCCGTGGCAACCACCATTCTGCTGTCTATCTCTACGAATTTAACTGCTCTAAGCATCTCAAGTAACGGAGTCATAAAATATTTGTCTTTTAAAAAAAAAAGTTTTGAACAGGCCTCCTGCCTGACTTCTAGACCAAATGCCCTTTCCCATCCTTCCCACATGCTCATTTTCATTACCGTTGCTAGTAGTTTTTAGTAGGAACAAGGTGGTTTATTCTTAGGAACAGAGAAAAGACAGGACAGACATAACCCTTATTGTTTGAGAAAGATCCATACTCAACACATCAGAAAACAGATGTATTCTTTCTTTTCATGCTGTTAACTTTTTATTCTAGATTGGCTTATCCTTTTTACCCTTTCATTTTAACACTAGAGGCCCAATGCACAAAATTCATGCAAGGGGCTAGGCCCTCGCAGCCCTGGCTTCATCCGGAAGGTTGTCCGGGATGGTTGTTCTGCTGTTGGGCTGTCCGGTCCAATTAGCATATTATGCTTTTATTATTATAGATTTGCATAAACAACATAATGAAACTATGTTAGTACATATTTAAAACATTCCCAGAAAGTCATGATTCCTCTCCTCTAACACACATACTCATCAGGGGACTCTACAGTGATGTCCTGTTTCAGAGGTTACTAATGCTTAAAGTAGTAATAAAAATGGGTGGCATTTAAATCTTATTTTTATCAGACCAAGGCACTGAAGGAGGACCCTGGGAGAGAAGGCATCTCTGTGTGCTGAAAAACTCTACTTCTTTTTACACCAATTAAAAAAGAGGTGAACAAAAGCAGGAGAAGGTTCGCTTATTAGCTTGTTGAGGTGCATCTGCTTTCCAATGTGAGCGAGAGGCAGTTCTCATTGTCTGGGACCTGACACTCTTACGTTACCATGGATTCTGTTCACATTGCTTTATGGAGGCCATCTCACTATGGAAGCAGCCCAGCACTACTATATATTCTCTAACCAGTCCCCTCTGACATGTTCCCCTCTAAACTCACACTGTGGCCAGCTCACTCAGGGCCTCCTGGTAGCGCAGGTACTCTCTCTGGCCAAAGACCTGAGGAAAAAGGAAGGGAGAGTGAGGGTCTCTTAGTGTGGGGATCCCTTCAGTTCCCTTTAGTGGCAACCCAGCTTACCCCAGTCCCATAGCGGGCTGTTTCATAGCCGTCCAGCAGGGTATCAATGAGGGCCTTGCGCACACCCTTGAAAGGAGTACTAGTGTTTCGAAGATCTAGCAGGTAGGAGCGAAAATTCTTGCCTATTAAGGAACGGGGATGCCGGCCTTCAGCATGAAATGGGATTTCTGAGGAGATAAATAATAGCATAATGCTACCCCTTCTTCCATTTGTTACTCTTTCTAGTTAATTTCCCAAACTTAGAAATGGATCCAATGAATGAGTTGCAGGGAAGTTCTAAAGAATTAAGAAGACCAGAGGTATAGAGCTGTGCCTGAGTTGTCATTTGGTGGTGGCAACACAACTGTAACTATATCAATGATACACAATCGTGTTACCCTCCTGTTTACCCCCCTACATATCTACCCTGGCTTTAAGACAAACTATGTTTTAGTAGAGACAGAGTATATGTGATAATGGTTATAGAATAAAAGAAGTAAAGAATAATCTATCTGGGGCTTAGCAAAAGAGCTTGTCTTTTGCGGAAAACAAGCAAATTGCCACCACCCAGCTCATGACACTTAAGGTCTAAAGAACAAAACAAATTCAGACTCTTTGGAGAAGAAATAACTTGTCTACATCATTTTCTCATGCAAAAGAGTCACCCAATACTCACAAAACCAGGAAAATTTCTACGAACCAGAGAGAGTGCAGAAAGGACAAATTCTAACGTACATCAAGTGGGTTCCTCTCCCTCTTCCCTAATGAGCTTTCAGGATCCCGAATGGCCCGTCAATTAGCCCTTACCAGAGGCACGGATGGCATCTAGAGCTTTCATCCTGTATAAATAGTTGTAGCAACCTGTTGAGAAAGAGAGTGGTCTCAGATATAACCCTCAAAAAAGTCTCTAAACGCCAAGCTAAAAACCTGCCCTCCACATGTCATATACCCAGTAACACAGGACCCACAGCTGCTGGTTTTGCCAGCAGCTATGTTACAACTCTGAGAGCAAAGGAATTCTGAACTTGCAGGACTCCTCACTGAAGTATTTTCCAAGAGAATGCCACATACTCTGATTTCCCTGGGTGTCCAGCTGCAGCAGTCTTGCATCATCATCTGCAAGGAGCTGAGGTTCATACTTGATATCCTGAACCCTGGATAGTCGAATATCAATCTCCTCTTTTAAGTCCTGTTCAGAGAAAAGAATACACAATCACTTACCCTGCACTCTGCTTTCCATTAATCTGGACATGGAGCAGAGCAAATGAGCAACTAAGATGACAGAAGCAGAGAAAATGCTCATTTGGCTAATGAAATTGCAGGATAAGACTAAAAAACGTAATAATGGTCTCTCTTTGCCCCAGTGTAGCTCAGTTGGTTGGAATGTCGTCCCATACACTGAAAGGTTGAGGGTTCAATTCCAGTCAGGGCACATACCTAGGTTGGGGATTTGATCCCTGGTTGGGGCAAGTACAGGAGACAACTATTTGGTCTCTCTCTCTCTCCTCCTTCCCCTCTCTCTAAAAATAACATGTTCTCTGGTGAGGAATTTAAAAAAAGAATGGTCTCTCCTTATCAGTCCGAACTGATTCGGGCTGCTTGGTCTGTGGCAGCAGCAGGCAATGTCTCTGGTACATGAGCTGCTTCAGCCCTGAGGAGCGCCATGCCCTTCACCCTTGAGTACCGCATCGCCCTCAAAATTCAGAAAGCCCAGACGGCGTGGTTCAGTGGTTGAAGGATGACCTATGAACCAGGAGGTTGTGGTTCCATTTCTGGTCAGGGCACATGCCTGGGTTGTAGGCTCGATCCCCAATGTGGGGCGTGCAGGAGGCAGCCAATCAATGATTCTCTCTCATCACTGATATTTCTATCTCTCCCTCTCCCTTCCTCTCTGAAATCAATAAAATGTATATTAAAAAAAAAGAGAGAAAAATTAAAAAGGACAGCCATGGCTGGTGTGGCTCAGTTGGTTGGGCGCTGTTCCATGCAACGGACAATTTGACAGTTCGATTTCTGGTCAGGGGACATGCCTGGGTAGGGGGCATGGCATGTAGGAGGCAGATGATTGCTGCTTTCACACTGATGTTTCTCTCTCACCCTCTCCAAAAGTAAAAACATAAAAATAAAAAAGGACAATACACATCTCCATTTCATGATATCCCAATTTATACAGATAAGGATGCGTTCCATATGGTAGTTCAAGTACCACACTGGTCTTATTACAAAGGACCATTCAAAACCAATTAAACGAGGTGAAAAGAGGAAAATTCCATTTTGTTGCAAATTTGTTCCCTTATAAAGGATATATGTGGCACTATGGTGCCATCCCTCACACTTAGGAAGACCCAGGACACAAAGATGAATATCCAGGACTTAAAAGAGGACCCAATTGATTCTGTGAAACTGGAAGCAAGGCATGTGCAAGAGGTGAAATAAATAAAAGTACTCATGACCATTGGAGAGTGTTGGTGACAAAGAAAATCCATGGAAAAGGAATCAGCTGCATGATTATCACAATCTGAGAGCCCGTTCAAGTGTGAGCCTGATCCTGCCAAAGCCATTGTGGATGCTTTCCTACCACCACGTGAATCTGCCTGTACAATACCAGCGTATCACAGTGGTTCCCTCACCAGAAAACAAAGACATTTCTCTGGAATACAAGGTCATATTGCTGCATCCTATTCATCTGGAAGTATCAGATACAAAAGTAGAGGGCTTTTTGTTGTTGTTGTTGATCATCGCTGGAGGGTATTTTTTCCACTGATTTTAGAGAGTGGGAGAGAGGAGAGAGAAATATTGATGTGAGACAGCCACATCAATTGGTTGCCTCCCACCCAAGTCCCATCCTAGGCAGGGAACCTACAACCCAGGTACTTGCTGATGACCAGAATCGAACCTGCGACCCTTCGCTTCCTGGGCTGACACTCTAACCATTATAGAATACTGACCAGGGCGGAAAAAATACTTTTTGAATCTGTAATTTGTCTTTCAAAATTTTAAATAACCTTTATTGAGGGTGAATTTACATGCAACAAAATGCAACCATTTGTGTAGGTGGATGAGTTTTGACAAATGAATATACCCAATCACCATTCCAATCAAGAAAAAGAACATGCCCTGGCTGGTGTGGCTCAGTTGGTTAGCATTGTCCTGGGTGCAACAGAGGATTATGGATTTGGTTCCTGGTCAGGGCATGTACCCAGGTTGCTGGTTCAATCCTCTGTTGGGGCAGGTATTGCAGTCAAGCCAACCAATCAATATTTCTCTCCCTCTACCTTCCTCTCTCTCTCATCAATGAAAAGCATATCCTTGGATGAGGGTTTAAAAAAAAAAGAAAAAAGATACAGAACATTTCCATCACCCCAGAATGTTCTTCATACTCATTTGCAGTCAACCTTTCCCGCTGGGCAACACTAATGTGCTTTCTATCAATACAGTTCTGTCTGTTCTAGAATTTCATATAAATGGAATAGAATTACCCTTAGCCAGTTTGGCTCAGTGGATAGAGTGTCAGCCTGCGGATTGAAGGGTCCTGGGTTCGATTCTGGTCAAGGGCACATGCCCGGGTTGTGGGCTTGATTCCCAGTAGGGGGCGTGCAAGAGGGAGCTGATCAATGATTTTCTTTCATCATCAATGGTTCTATCTTTCGCTCCCTCAAGTCTCTGAAATCAATACAAAAAATGAAAGAAATGGAGTGGAATTATATGGTATGTTTTTGTGAATGGCTTTTTTCACTCAGGATGTTTTCAAGATTCATTCACATTTGTGACTTACATTCACAAATACTTTTGAGCTTCATTAGTGTTCATGTATTTATCTCAATTTATTTTCATTTCCTATAGTATTCCAGAATATAACTATACTAGAGGTCTGGTGCACGTAATTCGTGTGGGGGCGGGGGGGGGGGCCTCTCAGCCTGGCCTGCGCCCTCTTGCAGTCTGGGAGCCCTCGAATGATGTCCGACTGATGGCTTAGACCAGCAGTCGGACATCCTTAACGCTGCTGCAGAGGCGGGAGAGGCTTCCACCACCACTGCTGCGAGCTCAGCTTCTGGCTGAACGGCGCTCCCCTGGTGGTCAGTGCACATCATAGCGACTGGTTGTTCTGCCGTTCACTCGATTTGCATATTAGCCGTTTATTATATAGGATATTACTAGAGGCCCAGTGCCCGATTGAAATCGTGGGAGGAGGCACCCCGCAGGGGGCTGGGACCCACAACTGCCCCGCGTAGCCCCTGCCACCGCATTGTTTTGGCTGGGGTAGAGGCGTGCTCTGAGCCGTGTGGTGGCAGCTCGGAACATGCCCCCGGCAGTATGTTGTGTCTGCTGGGGTGGGGGCAGGTGCTCCTGTGTGTTGTGTCTCCACTCTGGCCCACCCCCAGCCCCGCCTCAGCCACTGGGGTGGGGGCAGCACGCAGTCCTCTCTTGCCCATCTGTGTGCGCAGCTCCTCCTGAGTGGTCGTGATGCAGCCTCCTCTGGAGCGGTCATGATGCTTGGCTAATTAGCATATTCCCTGTTTATAGATATTAGTGGCCTGGTGCACAGATTCGTGCACATTGAAAGTAAATTAATTAGAAGAAATATTTTAATATCACTATTTGCCCTTTCTCTATAATAGAAGTGTCAACCAAATTCATGATTGACAATGACAGATCAAAACACATGTGTGCGATTGGCGCCACGCAGAGCTTTATATGTATCATGCATGCACGAGTCAACTTAGCCTTTTATATATATAGAATAAACTTGCTTAATTAGACCTGCTTTCTGATGTAGCTAAACCTTTTCCAGCTCAGTGAAGCACCCCAACTTCTCTTTCAGGTAATTGTCAGCAACACAGTAGTAAATATCAACATGAAGCAGATTATTATTGTAGATCACGCAGGGAGAACAAAGGATAAAATATTTAACTGCAGCAGTGTTTGACTATATTCTGCGCAGTGAGAAAACCTTAAGTCATTTTCAAGGTCCACCATTTCTTACTTCTTTTCAGTCAGGTCAAGTTTCTAAACTTTCTCTAAATCTCTGTTTTCCAGGTAATGAAAAGAAAATAGGATTCTACCGAGTCTCCTATCTACCTACTCCAGGACTTCTGTGAGAATCAAATGAGATGAGACATGGGAAAATCCTTCACAGACATTTGGTTAAATTGTAAAATGTTTGCACCTGGCTGTAAAGCGAGTCGTGTTCCTGGGCTGAAGAAACTCCAAGGAGTCTAGTCACTAGGGAAAGGAAGCTGGTCATTGCTATGTGACATCATTACCCAGCACCCACAGTGAACGTTTCTGGGCTGGGCTGTGGGCCGCATTTTGTGCCATAGGGTCTTGACAGCGTTGACTGCGATTTGGTGGGCTGTTGCTCAGGGGTGGTGGTGGGGCCTGTGTTCCACTTGGGGGAAGCCAAGTGTTGCTTTGTCGGCACCAGGTCCGCGGTGCTGTTTCTTTGTAAATGGCCAGTGTGCGTCACGGCAGCTCCTGCATTGAGCATCTGCCCTTCTGGTGGTCAGTGCGTGTCATAGCAACCGGTTGGAAGAACACTTAGCATATTAGCCTTTTATATATAGAGAGAGCCATTCTCAGTAGACATTTAGATTAATGATCGCCCCTGCCCAGCTGGATGGTTCAGTGGTTGAGTGCAGACCTATGAACCAGAAGTCATGGTTCAATTCCCAGTTGAGGCACTCTGGTTGCAGGCTCCTTCCCCAGTGGGGGTCGTGCAGGAGGCAGCCGATCAATGATTCTCTCTCATCATTGATGTTTCTATCTCTCTCCCTCATCCCTTCCTCTCTGAAATCAATAACAATTTTATTTATTTATTTTATTTATGGAAGTTTGTTTTGTTTTAATTCCAGCCATTGAAATATGAAAAAATATATATATTTTAATTTTTCTTTCTTTGTTAATCCTCACTTGAGAATATATTTTCCATTGATTTTTAAAAAAATATATTTTTATTGATTTCAGAGAAGAAGGGAGAGGGAGAGATAGAAACATCAATGATGAGAGAGATTCACTGATTGGCTGCCTCCTGCACACCCCCTACTGGGGATTGAGCCCAAAACCCGGGCATGTGCCCTTGATTAGAATCGAACCTGGGACCCTTCAGTCTGCAGGCTGATGCTCTATCCACTGAGCCAAACCTGCTAGGGCTCCATTGATTTTTAGAGAGTGGGAGGGAAGAAAGCGGGGAGAGGGAAAGAGAAAGGCTGAGAGAAACATTAATGTGACAGAGACACACTGATCAGTTGCCTCTTGAATTCTCCCTAACGGGAACCAGGGATGGAATCTACAACCCAGCTACATGCCCTTGAGTGAGCATGGAACCTGCGACCCTTCGGCGAGCGGGCTGACACTTTAACCACCATACCACACCGGCCAAGGCAATTTCTTTTTAAAATACAGTAAAATCTGGATATAATGGACTAATTTGGGCAAGGGGATGTCCATTAAAGCTGAAAGTTATATAATAAAATAGGTTTTCTGAATGTGTATGTTAAAAATGGACAAATTACTTTTCCCATTTTTACTTATGTAAATACGTTTATTTAATTAAAATTATGTATGAGAAGCTTAACTTCAGACAAAAGTTTTCTATATATATATTACAGTAATTTTAAATTTATACTGAATAGATCTAATAAATTTGCACCTTCAGCAGGAGAGTAAACAAATACACATGGCTGGGGTGTGGCTTAGCACACTAGTTAAAACTACTGCAGAAAGTCATGTTACTCGACAACAGAACCAATTACCATGAACAATGTGGTGTGACCACATGCTAATCATTTGCCGAACATTGTTAAGAGCGGTGACTCTTAGATTTAAATATGTAGACTATAGTTGTAGATATGTAATATTTTTGTTGATAAAATCACTACAGTGTTTTTTTCAACGTATGGTCTGTTTGCTAAAATTTGTTAAAAATTACTGAATTAAGAACATAAAGTAACCTGTTAATTATAAACAAATCTTGGTTAAAAGCATTTTAAAATTAACAGGGTGTTAATTTTCACATATGACACATGGACTGGAAATTTTGTCCATTAAATCTGAAGTCCCTTAAATCGACGGCTTACTGTATGACAAACAATGCTGCTATAAATAATCTTGTACATATCTTCTGGTACACATGAGCAAAAATTAATTTCTCTATGGTAGGAGTGGAATTGCTGAGCTGTGGATTAGGAACCTGTACAATCTTATTAGATAATGCCCAATTATTTTCCACAGTGGTTTAACTAATTTTTACTTCCACCAACAATAGGTGAAAATTTAGATATTTAAAAGCAAAAGGAACCTTGCTCTCATCTAGTCCATGGGGCTTCGAGATAGTCCAAGTTTTGATTGGCTCGTGATATACTGGAAGCCAACCCTAATCCTTATGGAAGTGAGCAGGCATTTGGGGACCTACGGGAATGTTAAAGGAGTTCTGCTGACATTTCAGGCCATGACATCTTTCTTGAGGTTTTCCATGAAATATACAAGCAAAGAATAAGGAGGGGAGGGTTAATAGCACTGGTTAATGAAAGAACTTTGGTCTAGAATTGAGAGTTGTGTACTAGCTCTAGCTCTCCCACTAACCTGCTTTTCACTTAAAATGAGTTGAGTACCTAACATGTGTCGATCCTGATTTTACAGTGGTGAACAAAACTGGTATGGGGCCTGCATTCTTGAAACTTAAAGTTTAATGGAAGAGAGAGGCATTAAACAAATAGAAAACTAAGCATAAAAGAAAATTAGTGGTAAAATGCTATCTAGGAAAAAATCAGGGGACTCTGAGGAAACAAAGAGGAGGACCTATTTTAAATAGGTAATAAGCACTCCTCTTTGGAGGAAATAATATTTAAATTAAGATCTAAAGAACAAATGAGCTAGTCAAGGGAAGACCAACAGGTCATCACAGTAACAGCACATGGAAAAGTGGAAAATTCAACCACTGTAGCTGGGTTCCAGTGATCAATGGAGAACCACACAAAAAGAGGTTGGTAAGGGCAACAGGTGTCTTTTACTCTAAGTCAGCGGTTCTCAACCTGTGGGTCACGACCCCTTTGGGGGTCGAACGACCCTTTCACAGGGGTCGCCTAAGACCATTGGAAAACACATATATAATTACATATTGTTTTTGTGATTAATCACTATGCTTTTAATTATGTTCAATTTGTAACAATGAAAATACATCCTGCATATCAGATATTTACATTACGATTCCTAACAGTAGCAAAATTACAGTTATGAAGTAGCAACGAAAATAATTTTATGGTGGGGGGTCACCACAACATGAGGAACTGTATTAAAGGGTCGCGGCATTAGGAAGGTTGAGAACCACTGCTCTAAGTGGAAGGCAGAAACAAACAGCAGGATGGGGATGGAGGTGGGTTATCAAGAGCTCTGATGTAGGTAGGTAGGTGTGACATGCCTATAAGACATCTAAGTGTTAGGCAGGCAGTTGGATATGTAAGTATGGAACTCAGGAAAAAGGTCTGGGATAGAGATAAAATTTCATCAGTAGATAAATAACTAGGCCAAGGAAAGGAAGGCAATCCCCTAAGAAGTGGTTATTCACTTTCTAAAATGTCTTTGGCTAAACTGTTTCATTTACTTAGGTTTCACTTTCTAACTGTGAGCGTTGGAAGTGGATGACTTACGGAGCCCTTATAAATCTAAAGTTCTGCAAGAGGCAACTTTTATTGTGCTGGGGCTAATTTTAACCACTCTAACCCCATCCTAAAACAAAATTTAAAAGAACAAACACACAAACAAACAGAAAACACTGGGTAGTTTAATTTGAACTGGGAGGTATCTTAACAGAAAAGTTGGGAATTTCACCCCAAGCCCTTCCTTCTGCAGATGCAGAAGCTGAAGTTCCTGGGGAAGCTACACGCCACAGCAGTGAGCAGGTAAGCCAGCCCCCAAACTGACAGCTATTGCTCAGTCTACCAAGGTAACGTGGGCAACTGGACAAGAAAAGGAGGGACTTAAAAGTCGTTCCCAAAAGCAAAGGAAATCTCCTTCCGGGCCCGAACGGATCTGGGAAGCCACGCCCACCCGGGGCCTGCAGGACCTACCTTGGGGGCATTGTGTCCCACAGGGACGTGAGGTCCCCTTCGGGATTTCATTGCAAAGCGCATGATTTGCCTCTTCACAAAAATAAATAGCAGCACAAACACCTGTCCAAAAGATATGAGAGAAATAAAGAATCTTAAGACAGTGAAAAGAATAAAAGGCATGCCTTCATTTCAAATCGCGATTCAGGCTCTCCGGGAGGCTTTGGGGGGAGGGGTGTAACCGGGGACAGCAAGGCCATCAGAGCAGGGGTGGGTAAAAGGAAGCCGGCAAGCGGAGGCGTGGGGTGCACTCTGTTTTAGGGTTCAGAGGGAGGGCTCTTGGCCAGGGGCGGGGCAGTACGAGTCGGTGACTTACGACCCCAGGTGCTCCCGGGATAGGGGTCAAAACCCAGAAAAAGTGCAGGTGAGTGGGTGGAGAATGAGGACAAGGAACTGCTCCCCAGGAGGGGCTCTACTAGGTCACACGCAACAACAGGACTAGGGTCGGGAAATCTCACCAGGCTCCCGTAGGCCATCACCAGCACGACATTCACCCCCGACAGCCAGTTACTGCCGGACGCCATGGCCTCCCCTCCCCGCGCAGAACTGCTCCGGTTTACCCCGCTGCCCTGCCTCGTCAGCCCGGGCTCCTCCGAGGCAACGGCGCCTGGGTTCTCTGAAACCCCCCGGCCATTTCCTTACGCAGAAAGACCAAGGATGACCCGGCCAGAAAACATGGCGGATGGGGGAGGCGGGGAAAGAAGAACGACACCTTCCCGCTTCCCCCAACACGTGACTCCGGCGCGCAAAGGCAGCCGGGAGCGGTGGAAGCGGAGACGCGGAACTACGCCAGTAAGAGGAAGCGAAGGCCACCTGTGCATCACGTGGAGGGGGCGTGGCCTATGTGGAGGAGGCGAGGGAGCGGTGTCTCGTGGCGTGGCGACATGCGCACGCCGGCGTGCGCGTCCCTTTTGCGTCACGTGCTGGGGGACGCAGGAAGGCAAGTGGGCGGGGCAAGGCGCGAGCGCGAGCGCGAGAGGGAAAAGGAGGGATGGGGGCGGGGAGATGGGAACCTTATATCACGTGACAGGGGCGGCGCGGCCCGGGGGTGTCAGTGTGGAGGAGACTGAGGTAAAGTTGGGAGCGCAGCGGCGTTGGCGGCGGCGGCGGCGGCAGCGGCAGCGCGGCGGGGCCGGGTATTGTCCGCGGCCCCTTTAAATCCGCGATCCCCCTTTTATCCTCCTCCTTTCTCTCCTACCCCCGCCGTGTTCCCCTCCCTTGGTAGGCCCCCCCACACCGTGTGTTCCCCCACTGTACACCCCCTCCCCCCAAGTCGTGAGAGCCCTGGCTACCCCCCGAGTCGGCCGCCGGAGGTTTTGTTTATGGTTGGGTTCGCGGCCTAGTGGGCCTCACCAGAGCCGGGGCCTCGATTTGGGAGCGTGGCCGGGGCGGGGCTTGGGGCAGCCGGAGGGGGGGGGGGCATGCGGCTAGAGCCTGAGGTGGGGGAGAGCGAGAAAGAGCGCGAGCGAGCGAGACCTGGGCCCCACCCGAGGTACGGCCCTCGCTGCCCCTGCCGGTGCCTGTGGAGAAGACGAGGGGGCCTCCTCCCTTTTCTGACCCGCTGTGGGCCTCTTTCTGATCCGGATCCGGCCTGGTTTGGGGGTGGCGGAGGGAAGGGAGGGCGCCGGGGTGGAGCTGCCCCGGACTCGCTCATGTGGTCCCCAGTTTGGAGTGCGGGGGGTTGGATGGTTCCGGGTGGGAGGGAAGGAGGCGACGGGGCGCTGCGGAGCGGAGCGAGCCTTTCATCCTGAACGCGTGGGCTTGCGTCCCCGCTCGGTTTCCAGCTTCTTTGTCAGCTCTTCTCGTTGCCCTTCCTCCTTCCTCACCGCCCCAGCTCCTGGGATATCTGTCTTTTTTGCTGCCGTCTCTAGCTTTCTGTTGTCCATACTGGAGTTTGGTGTACCCCCCCGACATGATGATGTTATTTGTGGGAAGCTGGACATGGAGGCCCCCATCGGGGTGCCTTCCGCCGAAGGGACGTCACTAGAGCACCGGGGTGCTCGCTGTTCTCATAATGGGACAGTCATGAGACGTTTCCCCAGCCCCTTCCCCCGACGGCAGCCCCTACATTGGCTCTGCGAGCTGATGTCACAAACAGGAGGCTGCTCCTTTCCACCGTTCTTGAAATGTGGCCACCTCCGGTGTAGGATGTTGTGGAAAGAAAAACAACACAGGAATAGGTGTTTCTCTTGTTCTTGTCGTGCTGCCTTGGACTGTCCCTGGTTATTAGGTGGAGAAGTGCTTTCTGTGTTTCCCCCCCGTCCCCCTCCCACCGCCCATGTCTGGCCGGGGGGATGTTTGATGGGATGGAACTTGATGGGAGGGGACGAGGGCCGGTGACCACCAGCATTCATTGAGCACTGGACCGTCTTGGCTGAGTATGGGCTGATAAGACTGCTTTGAGACCCCACACCATTGTCTTTAAAGATTAGATTACGCCAGTGATTATTTCCGTTATGAACAGGAAGTGTTGCTGGCATGTAAACTAACGATGAAAGGCCTTACAGTGTACTGTTTGCTTTTTATTTTTAAAGCCCCCTCCTTATTAAACATGTCCTAACTGGGAAGGACTATTTTCAGACATTCGATTGCAGTTCATGGGAAGGAGAGGAAGGGGTCATTACCACAAAGCATCTAGGGGAATTAGTTACTTTGTCAGAAGTAGGAAGCCTGACCGGCCCCTATCCAGCTTCAGGGTCCCGGAATTGTTTCTCAAACTAGATTGTAAGCTCCCTGAGGGCAGCAACCCAGTCATACTGCTTTTGTATTTTCTCAAGCCCTGGACACAGTAGATACTCAATAAATACTTGTTATTTATTTTTTTCTGTAAAATTTCTCTGGCTATTTTTTTAAGTAGCTGGTTTTCAAAAAATGGTCAAGGGCACTCCTGTGTTGAAACCTGTATTTGTTCCCACACTAGTCCCTTGGTCTCCAATACTTCTCACCTATTTCCCTTAAACTTTTTTATTTTTTAAGAAGGAGTATTTAACAAGATTGCTCACCTTCACTGTGATAACTCTGGGTATGTGTCTGCTTGCTACTGAAAGGCTACTAATTCTGTGACCTCTAGTGCTCCATCCCAGATCACTTACCTGTTGCTCGGTGTTGTTACTACCTAGGTGGTAAAATTTTCTTAGTCACACTTTTTAAAACACTTGTAATAGAAAAATAGAAACCAATAGCAAGAGTGATCAGGAGGATTCCCCCCCACCCTTTCCTGAATGATTATGTGGCTTCCAATATGACTTTTAATATATTTACATCAATTGGTACAGTATGTACAGTTGTCCACATAGCTAGCTAGTCATGCAATCCATAGCTGTAGTGTAAATCATGCTCACAAATTGAAATCACATGTGGAGTAGAAAGCAGTCAATAGTTGTAAGCTACAGGAATGGCTATCCCCATATTAGAAACTACATCTTAGAGCCAGTTATTAAGCATAACAGTTTCCTTCTAATTTTAATCCCCCCTCCCACTTTTAGTTGAATCCAGGGGTACTTGGTCAAACAACAGATTTTTGTTGTTGTTTGTTTTTGTAAATTAAGTATTGAAACTTGATTATAATGCCAGCCTGGGAAACTGTACTACTGTGTAGTAAATAATCCCTTACTAAGCCAGAAATATTTATAGGTCTTTGTGTGCACATGTGTGTGAGGGGAGAGGTAGTGGTTAAAAATTAGTCCCTTACAACTCTTTCTTAGTGATAGAGGATGTAGAATTCTTAATTCTTAATGACCGCATCACAAAACAAAGACCTATCCAACCTGTTACCGAACTTGGTGAAAAATTTATCCATAAGGAAGTCAACTTTTTTTGTGAACCAAGAAACAGGTGAAATTCACTTCCCTAATAGTTATTCCTTGCATATTTCTTTAGGAGCCCACTCTAGTTCTACCTCAAATCCAGCAGTCTTCTGAGCAGTCTAGAATTAACCAATTAATAAATAAGTAAATGAGCATAAAAGCATAAACTTGTACTCCTTGGAAGGGAATAAAACAATGCGGAATAACCTTATCTTGAGCACTCCATCGTGTGATGAATGTTTCCTTTGTTTACTAAGTCATCTTGCCCTGCAATAATGTCTCAAGTTTAAAATGATTTCCCAGTAGCCCTTTCTTCCAAATAAAACTTTGTGCTGCTAGATGATTTGGGTTTGGGATTCCTCTGTATATCAAGGTGAGTGGTGGAGAGTAATTTTAATTCTGGTTTCTTGGACTGTGGATTAGGAGATCAACAGAAGCAGCTGCAAAAGCAATGTGTTGGAATTATCCAGGGAACTGAGGTTCTGGGCAAAGTCACTGGGGCTCTTATATGCCTTGTGGAAAGTATGGAAGCCCCACAGCATGCTGAGAGATAGAAACTTAAGGGAGAAAGAAGCTAGACTTGAGTTAGTCCTTTTTTAAATGATGGAGGTCACATGCAACTCAAAGGGTTGTAAGGCAGGTAAGCCTGTTTTCATAGGTGAATTGAGTGCAGACTAATCCTCTTCCTGGAAGACTTGTTTCCAGGCTTTATCTTTCCTTTATGTCAAAGGGACTTGAGATATTTTTGTCTACTACTAAGATAGCAAAACTTCACAAAACCCGCTTATAGGGGACGAGTAACCAAACTGTGCTCATAACTTAAAAAACCCACATTATTTAACAGATGCTTTATACATTTCTTATACAAAAATGGATTAACATCCACAGTTTCATAAGGAATTTGTCAAACTAAATTTCTCTGAACAGGTGAATCCTCTTGGTTTATTTCTTTGAAGAACTGAAAATGTTTAGTGAAGATGCTGATGAGAGGTTAAAAGCCCTCATTTTGCCTGTATTTAATATCTAAACTTTTTTTTAATCTTTCAGTATTCTACCTTGTAAATACTGTTATTTGTATATACTGTAAATGATGACGTCGGTGGGCACGAACCGAGCCCGGGGAAACTGGGAACAACCTCAAAACCAAAACCAGACACAGCACAAGCAACGGCCACAGGTAAAGAATCCAAGTGTTATGGATCCATGGGTAGGTTTGCTGATTGATTCTAGTTTCTATCTAATGCAGCATCATTCTATACTTTGGATTCTTTTTCTTTTTAAAAAAAGATATATTTTATTGTTATTTTACAGAGAGTAAGGGAGAGGGATAGAGAGTTAGAAACATCGATGAGAGAGAAACATCGATCAGCTGCCTCCTGCACACCTCCTACTGGGGATGTGCCTGCAACCCAGGTACATGCCCTTGACCGGAATCGAACCTGGGACCTTTCAGTCTGCAGGCCAACGCTCTATCCACTGAGCCAAACCGGTTAAGGCTATACTTTGGATTCTTGATTTGGGTTCTTCATTCTTATTTTCAAGTCCTTCTTTTTATTTTCTTAAAGTATGTTTTAATGATTTCAGAGAGGAAGGGAGAGGGAGAGAGAGAAATATCAATGATGAGAGAGAATCATTGATCGGCTGCTTCCTGCATGCTCCCTACTGGGAATCGAGCCCACAACCTGGGCATATGCCCTTGACCGGAATCGAACCTGGGACTTTTCAGTCCGCAGGCCAACACTCTATCCACTGAGCCAAACCGGCTAGGGCGTGTCCTTGTCTCTTTTTACTTGGAGCCTTATAACTATTAATGTCGTACTGTGATATAGTGCTCTTTTTTTTTTTTTAATATTTTATTGATTTTTTACAGAGAGGAAGGGAGAGGAACAGAGAGTTAGAAACATCGATCAGCTGCCTCCTGCACACCTCCCACTGGGGAT